CGAAACGTCCGCTCCGCTTCTCCCCCTCCCTCCCAGGCTCTCAAGCCTGGGACGGAGGGGGAGCAGCGGCGCGCGAAACGTCCGCTCCGCTTCTCCCCCTCCCTCCCAGGCTCTCAAGCCTGGGACGGAGGGGGAGCAGCGGCGCGCGAAACGTCCGCTCGGGATCTCCCCCTCCCTCCCTCCCAGGTTTGAGAGCCTGGGAGGGAGGGCGAGTAGCGGCGCGCGAATCAGCTGTTTCGCGCGCCGTGGCAGCAGCAGCGGAGGTGAGCTAGGGCAGCCGAGGCACATTTTTAGGGGCGGCATTCTGGCGCCGGCCATGCCGCCCCTAAAAATGTGCCGCCCCAAGCACCAGCTTGTTTTGCTGGTGCCTAGAGCTGGCCCTGCATGGAGGTTAAGTCCATTAATGGCTATTAGCAAGGATGGGTAAGGAATGGTGTCCCTAGCCTCCCTCTGTCAGAGGGTGGAGATGGATGGCAGGAGAGAGATCACTTGATCATTGCCTGTTAGGTTCACACCCTCTGGGGCGCCTGGCATTGGCCACTGTTGGTAGACAGGATACTGGGCTAGATGGACCTTTGGTCTGACCCGGTATGGCCTTTCTTATGTTCTTATGCACTGTGATGCTTCCCTGGAGTACCCAAGATTGTGAGGCGTTTCACTACCACCTGCCCTTAACATGAGGAAGCCTTGTCTGTGCCCGCCCAGGGTCAGGTCCCAGACCCGTCTCAGGAAACATATGCACTCTCCTCTTAGCCCACGCAGGCTCTGCTGTCCCTTTGAAGACAAGCAGTAGGTGCACTCCAGCCCCTGAGGTTCCCAAACACCCCCTTGGCGTATCCAGCCCCCAGTTCCACTGCATGCTCACAGAATTCACAGATCCTCTATTCCCAAAGCAACAGTACATCTCAGAATCCTCTCTCCACTCAATTTACAGCACTTATGCTTGTTTTCACTATAACCATATGGCAGTTTTTATTTATCAGAGAATAGAGCAGTGGTTCTCAAACTTTTATACTAGTGACCCCTTTTACATAACAAGTCTCTGAGTGTGACCCCCCCCCCTTATAAATTAAAAACACTTTTTTATATAACACCATTATAAATGCTGGAGGCAAAGTGGGGTTGGGGTGGAGGTTGACAGCATGCGACCCCTCCCCCCCCAAAATAACCTCATGACCCCCTGAGGGGTCCCGACCCACAGTTTGAGAACCCCTGGAATAGAGATTAGAAAAGAAGCAAGCAGAATTAATGGAAACAAAGGGTTACATGTAAAATAAAATCATAATACTCTTTCCCTAGAGCCTAACAAGACATTCTCCTGTCTCCTAAAGGTTAACTCATCCAAAGTCTCTCTCCCAGCATTAAACAACCAGACTGGCTGTGATCTAGTTTACTGAAATCGAAGTAAACTAGATCCACTGCGTTAAACAATCAGACATAGCGTTGTCCACACCAGCGCTTTTGTCCATGAAATTGTCAGTCAGGTATGGGTTTTTTCACACCCCTGACTGACAAAAGTTTTGCTGACAAAAGTACCAATGTAGAGACCCTAAATCCTGAACCGTATTAGACTAGGCAGTATTTAGCCCAATCAGTTTTTCTCACCCCGCTGGATGTTGCAGGTAGGTTAGTTCTCAATACACCGGACAGGCTTCCCCTTTAAGCCTAGGATGAGTCTCCTCAGTTCAAGTCTGTCTTCCCAGTGTACTTGTTGCTTCCAGCATAGGTGGGGGAGGTGAAAGGTAAAAGCATGATGCCACTCTCCCCTATTTTATATCCTAAGTCCATGTGCCTGGAAAACACTAGCCCAGACATATCCTGGTGGGCTTTGCTGAGTCACAGAATTGAGCAATCTCCCATTGTGTGATGCTTGCACAGCTCCCTTACAGCTTTGTAAATTCCTTGTTTACAACTCCCCTGCTGATTAATGGTCATTTAACACCCACCTGGGAGTGGATCACCCCCTTAGTTGTCAGGGAGGACTGGCAGTGAATGTCCCTGAAACTTGCAACATATTTCAGTAACAACCATACAGCAAAATCTCATAACTTCATACACACTAACAATATACATATTTTGACCGAACAATCTGTTTCAGCAGATCATGACCTTTCATATATGATATCTTACATGGTATTCCTTCTATGAAATAGATCATAATTATACGGTGGGGTGAATATGGGGGCTCCATGGTGCTGTTTTGAGGTACATAGTGTCACAATACTAAAAAGTAAAAACAAAACACCTCAAACTGAAGGAAGACTTACACTTGCTATTTCTGAACAGTTCACCCTGGTGTGATTAGAGAAGAAAAATCCAATCTAGTCTGAGTCCTTGATAAAGCTGCTTTATTAAAAATAGGATAGCTTGAGAATAATTCTGGTATGAATTAATATGTATATCTAAATATGCCTTGCTTGCAGGTTGAGGAGTTCACAAGTGTTTATGAAGAAGTTGATGAAGCACAATACTCCAAGATGGTCAGGGAACGCCAGGATGACGATTGGATTGTAGATGATGGTGTGTAAGATTCATTTAGGGGGCTCCCTTTATATGCTGAGTAGAAGCATAAAATATATGTGGGTATTCTTGCATATATTTCTAAGCCACAGGTTGAATGGCTCACAAGTTCCAATATCTTTTGTATGCATTTTAAAAAACAAATCATAAAAATTACCCTGAAATTATCTTAACTCCATCAGATTTCATGAAGACGTTTCCTCAAAATGTAAATGCCTCAGTGCCCTCTATAGATTATTAGTTATAATACAGACAAAAAAAAATGAGCTGCTAAACCGAGACGTTTGATCTAGATGTTTAAAGCAATTTAGGTGTTGCGGCACTCAACATCACAATGCCGAACTGATTTAGGAGTCCTTAGGAGACTAAGTGCCTAAATCTCTTTTAAAAGCAAAAATCAGAGTCCTAAATCAGTTAGGCATTGTGTTGCTGAGTGCCGCAACACATAAATAGCTTTAAAAATCTGGGTCTTTATGCCTAAGCATTGTTGAATTTATAATAACGCTTTCAAGATGAGTGATTCAAATATTTTACATTGACTGCAGATACAGTGACTTTGTTCCATTTAAAAATGGTTCCCTATTGCAAACTACAGATATATTTTTAGCTGATCATGTACTAAAGTAGTTACTTTGAGCCAAACCCCATTATAACTTGGTTTGTTTTTTAGTTTATTTTTATACTCAAAATATATAGATTTATAAAGTAATGAAAAATCAAGAGTTTGTTAAACAGAGGAAGCCCCTTAGCGATGGAGATTAAGTTTAAATTTCATCTTTCTGAATTTGCAAAGGGTCACTTAAAGTTTATTATAACCTTCTTCTTGTACAGATGGGATAGGTTATGTAGAAGATGGAAGGGAGATCTTTGATGAAGATCTAGAAGATGATGTCCTTGGTTCCAAGAAGAAAGGTAAATGAATTGAACTCTTGAAAGTTGCTCTGTTTGCTTTTTTAAAAAAGTGCATAAAATTGGGTACTTCTGTTGACTTCATCCAGTGGAAATGGGTCAGTAAGCCCAAATATTAGCACAGCTTCCTGGGAAGGACAACTTGTATAGGTGTCATTGATACCGGAAGTGACAGAGGTTGCATAAATGTGTCTGGAACCAGGGTTTGGCCTGCAGAGCCTCTGTTTATCCTTGGTGATGGTGTGTGAGATGTTGATTATCAGAGCTTAGAAATGTAGGGATGAAGGAGACTGAGAGGTCATCTAGGCCAGCCCCCTGCACTGAGGCAGGACCAAGTATGCCTAGACCATCTAAAAAATCTGTTTTAAAAACCTGCAACGAGGGGGATTTCACAACCTCCTTTGGAAGCCTGTTCCAGTTCTTAACTATGCTTTATATTTAGGAAGTTTTTGCTCATATCTAACCTAAATCTCTCTTGCTACAGATTAAGCCCATTACTACTTGTCCTGCCTTCAGTAGACATGGAGAACAATTGATCACAGTCCTCTTTATAACAGTCTTTAACATATTTGAAGACTGTTATTGGGTCCCCCCTCAGTCTTCTTTTCTCAAGACTAAACGTAGCCAGTTTTTTTAGCCTTTATCTTGTTGTCTTAAACCTAGATGACGTGCTTTCTGAACAGTTTTCATTTGTGTGGTACAAATGAACTTGATGCTAATAGTATGAATATGCAATCAAAGTGTTGGTGGTAATAGTAGTAGTAGTATTTACTATCTTTGTCAGTAAAGCTGTTCATTTCAGTGGTCTGCTGTGATCTGTGTTGGTTCACAATTGGCAGTTTAGTAATGTTGTTACTACAGGTTTGTATGTGTAAAAGAACATTATAATGCTTTGGTTTTAGCTGGATCCTTAATAGTTGACTAAATTTCTTTTAAGTGTGTACACTAAGTTATACTACATTATGTCCTGCTGTGTCTTAAATACTGGGCCAATGAGGACTTGAGAAGCTCAACAGATTCTTCACTTAGAATGATAGACTTTAAGATCAGAAGGGACCATTATGATCATCTAGTCTGACCTCCTGCACAATGCAGGCCACAGAATCTCTCCCACCCACTCCTGTATCAAACCTATGTCTGAGCCATTGAAGTCCTCAAATCGTGGTTTAAAGACTTCAAGGTGCAGAGAATCTTCCAGCAATTGACCCGTGCCCCACGCTGCAAAGGAAGGCAACTCCCCTCCCCCAGGGCCTCTGCCAATCTGCCCTGGAGGAAAATTCCTTCCCGACCCCAAATATGGCAATCAGCTAAACCCTGAGCATGTGGGCAAGACTCACCAGCCAGACTCCCAGTAAAGAATTCTCTGTAGTAACTCAGATCCCACCCCATCTAATATCCCATCACAGACCATTGGGCATATTTACCGCTAATAGTCAAAGATCAATTAATTGCCAAAATTAGGCTATCCCATCATACCATCCCTTCCATAAACGTATCAAGATTAGACTTGAAGCCAGATATGTCTTTTGCCCCCACTGCTCCCTTGGAAGGCTGTTCCAGAACTTCACTCCTCTGATGGTGAGAAACCTTCGTCTAATTTCAAGTCTAAACTTCCCGATGGCCAGTTTATATCCATTTGTTGTTGTGTCCACATTGGTACTGAGCTTAAATAATTCCTCTCCCTTTCTGGTATTTATTCCTCTGATATATTTATAGAGAGCAATCATATCTCCCCTCAGCCTTCTTTTGGTTAGGCTAAACAAGCCAAGCTCTTTGAGTCTCCTTTCATAAGACAGGTTTTCCATTCCTCGGATCATCCTAGTAGCCCTTCTCTGTACCTGTTCCAGTTTCATCCTTCTTAAACATGGGAGACCAGACTGCACACAGTATTCCAGATGAGGTCTCACCAGTCCCTGGTATAACGGTACTAACACTTCCTTATCTCTACTGGAAATACCTCGCCTGATGCATCCCAAGATGGCATTAGCTTTTTTCATGGCCATATCACATTGGCGGCTCATAGTCATCCTGTGATCAACCAATACTCCAAGGTCCTTCTCTTCCTCTGTTACTTCCAACTGATGCGTCCCCAGCTTATAACAATAATTCTTGTTATTAATCCCTAAATGCATGACCTTGCACTTTTCACTATTAAATTTCATCCTATTACATTACTATTAGTCCAGTTTACAAGGTCATCCAGTTCTTCCTGTATGATATCCCGGGGTCCTTCTCTGTATTGGCAATACCTCCCAGCTTTGTGTCAGCCTCCGACTTTATTAGCACATTCCCACTTTTTGTGCCAAGGTCAGTAATAAAAAGATTAAATAAGATTGGTCCCAAAACTGATACCTGAGGAACTCCACTAGTAACCTCTCTCCAGCCTCACAGTTCACCTTTTAGTACGACCTGTTGTAGTCTCCCCTTTTACCAGTTCCTTATCCACCTTTCAATTTTCATATTGATCCCTATCTTTTCCAATTTAGCTAATAATTCCCCATATGGAACCATATCAAATGCATTACTGAAATCGAAGTAAACTAGATCCACTCGTTTCCTTTGTCTAAAAAATCTGTTACCTCCTCAAAGAAGGAGATCAGGTTGGTTTGGCATGATCTACCTTTTGTAAAACCATGTTGTATTTTGTCCCAATTATCATTAACCTCAGTGTCCTTAACTATTTTCTCCTTCATAATTTTTTCCAAGACCTTGCATACTACAGATGTCAAACTAACAGGCCTGTAGTTGCCCGGATCACTTTTTTTTCCCTTTCTTAAAGATAGGAACTATGTTAGCAATTCTCCAGTCATACAGTACAACCCCTGAGTTTACAGATTCATTAAAAATTCTTGCTAATGAGCTTGCAATTTCATGTGCCAGTTCCTTTAATGTTCTTGGATGAAGATTATCTGAGCCCCATGATTTAGTCCCAATAAGCTGTTCGAGTTTGGCTTCTACCTCGGATGTGGTAATGTCTACCTCCATATTCTCATTCCCATTTGTCATCCTACCATTATCCCTAAGCTCCTCATTAGCCTCATTAAAGACTGAGGCAATACATTTAGGCCATGCCTAAATTATCCTTAACCTCCACTCCATCCTCAGTGTTTAGTGGTCCCACTTCTTCTTTCTTTTCTTCTTCTTTATATGGCTATAGAACCTTTTACTATTGGTTTTAATTCCCTTTGCAAGGTCTAACTCTACATGGCTTTTGGCCTTTCTCACTTTATCCCTACATGTTCTGACCTTAATAAGGTAGCTTTCCTTGCTGATCACTCCCATCTTCCATGCCTTGTAGGCTTTCTGCTTTTTCTTAATCACCTCTCTGAGCTGCTTGCTCATCCAGCTTGGTCTACAACTCCTGCCTATGATTTTTTCCCCCTTTCTAGGGATGCAGGCTTCTGATAGTTTCTGTAACTTTGACTTGAAGTAATTCTAGCTCTCCTTCACCTTTAGATCCACAAGTTCTTCAGTCCACTCCACTTCCCTAACTAATTTCCTTAATTTTTTAAAGTTAGCCTTTTTAAAATCAAAAACCCCTGGTGGGCTGGGCTGGTTTGTTTACCTGTTGCATCCGCAGGTTCGGCCGATCGCGGCTCCCACTGGCCGCGGTTCGCAGTACCAGGCCAATGGGGGCTGTGGGTAGCGGTGCAGGCCGAGGGATGTGCTGGCTGCTGCTTCCTGCCGCCCCCATTGGCCTGGAGCGGTGAACCGCGGCCAGTGGGAGCCGTCAGAGGCCAAACCTGCAGAGGTTGTGCAGACTGCATGTGACTTTACAAAATGCTGTGACTTAAACAAAATAAGCATGGGCCCTGGATTTCAATGGTATTTAACTATATATGGTGACATAAGTTTTACAGTCCTTCTCTTTTAGCTAGAACATCACGAAAAAGCTGCACTTGAGTGAATTTTAAGTTTCACTTCTGAATTGCTATGAAGTATTTTTCAGCATATATTGAAAGCAATCACATCCTTTTTCTGTACAAAAAAAATCATTCATTTCCCTTATCAAACCTTAGTGCAACCTTTTCTGTAGAGGTTAGTGCAGCAATATTCAGGACAAATTTGTGTAGTCTTGCTTGTTACTCTACAGTCTGCCCAACTTTCTTCAAACGTACTGTTCAACCTGTAGAGTAAAACGGTTAACTTTCACACCAAACCAGTGTGACTAGCCAAAGTTTTTTAATAGGGCAAAAACAACACTTATAATAGAGCTCTGTAAATTTTCTTGTAGCCATTTAGATATTTATCTTTTGGCACTGTTTATAATAAAATGTATTAAGTTTGATAAACATTCAGTGCTACTTGAATGAAGCTGCATCAGTGGTGATTGGGGTCTAATGTTTTAATGACCAGCTATCTAACTGAAATAACTTTAACTTATGAAAGTGAGCCAACGTTAAGTCATACAAACATTTTCAAAAATCCAGTAAGTCTTTTGGTCTTCAAACAAGTGTAATTAATTTCTTAAATATGGAAATGTCCACTTTTTTCCTTATTGGTCTACTTTAAAGAGGTTGGGGCTTTAGACATTTCCATATGTAACTTGCATGCTTAAGCCTGTGATTATGTATTCATAAATATACAGTAAATCTAATTTATACTGCTAGTTCCATCATGGACAATCTAAAGAGATTTACAAATGATATGCAGGGATCCCTTTCTCCAATAGAGAGGTGAAATGTTGCAATTGTGTAACATCATTTTGCTGCTCTAGCATCTTCAGATGGAATGTGCAGGATGTAATTACCCAAAGTTTAATATCTGCACTCTTATCAAAAATGCCATAGGCTCTCCACTGGCAACAAATGATCAGAAACTCTTACAACTCATGAAAGATTGCACTTTCAATAGCGTAGTGCCCCTAACATTATGCTGGGCTCAATAGTGACTACCAGGAAAGAGTGCCTCTTACTGAAGTATAAACATAGTTTCTTATAACAACTGTGTTTACCATAGAGGCTTTCTGTCCTAGCACTGGGATACTCTTGATGAGCTTGTGAGATCAGACAGGATTTCAGAATAGGCAGCAGGTTTAAAACAAACAAAAGGAAGTATTTTTTCACACAACACCCAGTCAGTCTGTGGAACTCTTTGCCAGAGGATGTTGTGAAAGCCAAGACTATAACAGGGTTCAAAAAAGAACTAGATAAGTTCATGGAGTATTAGTCCATCAATGGCTATTAGCCAGGATGGGCAGAGATGGTGACCCTAGCCTCTGTTTGCCAGAAGCTGGGAATGGACGACAGGGGATGGATCACTTGATGATGATGATCTGTTCTGTTCATTCCCTCTGAGGCACCTGGCATTGGCCACTGTCGGAGGAAGACAGGATACTGGGCTAGATGGACCTTTGGTCTGACCCAGTATGGCTGTTCTTATGTTCTTTAGTGGTTTCTTTGTGTTTAAAAACTTGACTGAATTTCTTTTGGTTCTTGTGAAAGCTACCAGTTAAACAGATGTCTTCTGTCCTCAAGGTTATTATCTGCAGGATATGTACAGGGGCAAGGGAAGCTTCTGCACAGCTCCCTGAGGGCAGGTCTACACAAACATGTAGTTTGCAGCAAGCTGGGGTATGAATCTATCCCACACTAGCTGTCCATGTGGACCCTGATGATGTGCACTAATGAACTAGACACGCTAGGTAACTTGACTAAGGTCACATAGGAAATCATTGGCAACACAAAGAATCAGACCTTGTCTCCATGGTCCTAGGCTTGCTAACTAACCACTGGACCATCTTTCCTCTATGCAAATACTCTGCTGTACCATACTCTGGAGCAGTGGTTCTCAACCTATTTACTGTTACAGGCCACCTGTGCGGCCCGCAATGAGTTATTTGGGTCGCATCCAATACTACCTGTATGGTCCTGTGGATGTCACATGGGCTGCATTGCTGTGCTGATTGGGCTGTAGGTTGAGAACCACTGCTGTAGTGACCACGTTTTAGTATATGAGAGGTAGTTCAGTAATTGGCCTGTGTGATACTTCCAAGAAGGCTACAAACTCTGGTAATAGCTTTTTGTAATGTAATTCTGAACAGCTATTAGATTGTAACGCTTTGCATGAACTGCCAACTTACGCTGGATACGAGCGAGTAGCCTAAAGGTTAAAGATGATCCCTTTACCAATTCCATCAACTGTGCAGCCCCCACTGATAACTGGAGCCTTTAATTATTTGAGAAATCACTTCTCTCTCTTGCTCCTGTAGGAAAAGGTGACAAAACATCCACAAATGACAAAAAGAATGTGAAGAAGTCTGTGGTGTCAAAGCCAAACACCATCAAGTCTATGTTTATGGCTAGTGCAGGGAAGAAAAACACAGATGTAAGTTGTATTTTTATATTTCAATTTAAATGTCCTACCTTCAGTTAGACTTGTAACTTTATTTTCTTTACTCAAAGTGACAAATGTTTTGGTTACTACCGTTTGACTTTTTTTAATCAATTGGCACACAAGCCAGACTTAAAAGCTCTCACTGAGAGTTTCTGGGTGCTGGTCACTCTTGAAAATCTGGCCCATGGTATGTGGGGAACTTCCTTATTCTGTATTGACCGAGTCTTTCGGTTCAGTTAGTGCATATAATTAAGTCTGTATAGCTAATACAGCTGTCTAATATTTTACAGAAAACTGTAGACTTGTCCAAGGATGACTTACTCGGGGATATTCTGCAAGATCTGAATGCTGAGGTAAGTAGTTGAATTCTGAGGGGTATAATGTATTGAACACCCCAATCAATGATGCAATTCATCCAGTTATCAGAAGTTTTTAAGAAGCATTTTTTTTTCTAAATGGACCACCTAAGATTTTATTATTTTAGTGAAGTCATTCCCAACTCTTGGCTGTGACAATCTTTGTCCCATGAGTCATCTTTAGGTACACAAAAAGTCAGGTCAGCCAATGACTCTAGTTAATCAGCATGACAGTACTCATTACTGTATTAGCAGACTTCCTTAAAATTACAAAGACTAACACTTTCAACAGCACATATCACAATGTCCTTTGGGGTTACTGAACATGACACATCATTAATATATTTAAAAAAAATTAGAACATTGCCATGTCCTTCACTTAACTTTACTATAAATATTCGATACTCATTCCCATGCTATCTGATACCTAACTATAGGGTTATGTCACCTTGTTAACTGTTACTAACATCACAAACATCTAAATAGTTCAGGAAATGCTTTCATGCTATCCTGATATTGTCTGCTGATGCAAGGCATATGTGAAATACCAGATTTTGTGGAGGCTAAGTGAGAAAAACATTTTAATACAAAATACTTTCATCATATTTTCACTTAAGTACACAGTCTGTTGTTGTGGAATAGTTGGCTAGTTAATAAAGCTTTGGAGTTCACTAATACGCTTCTCCTCATGTTCTAAATGGCGTTGTCTCTTTCTGCATTTATGGGCACAAATGTACATCTTAAAATTGCTTGTCCACTAGTATGCCAGTGCTGAAAACCAACTACAAATTTTCCTAAATAACCCATTCTCCTGAACTATTGTCTACTGAAACAGTTTGTAAAGCCAACATGTTAAACTTATGACTCTCAGCCATAACTGAATTTTTAACTTTTTTTGTCATACTTCATATTAGCTGTAGTCTAAAAAAAATCTATGGTGAGGGATGAGAAGCATTTGAAAAACTTTCCATTGCATCCACACATTTTTAACTGAATTTCTTTGGCTCTTGTTGATCTCCAAACTTCATCCAAAGATTTGTGTCGTCAAGACGCCTTCTTTTATTTAAATGCCAGCAGTGTGCTTGATGCTGTATAAAATACAAGGAAAGATGGTCCCTCTCCTGTGACTTGTGATCTAAATTTTTTTTGACTTTCTTTTCACACCAGGATTTTGTATAATACTATATTATCAGTTGGCATAATACTCCCACTGCTGCTTTGACTGTTCTGGACCCCCTTGGCCATTGTTTTGCATTCTCCTCTAGTTTAGGAGCAAGCTATGTAGCTGCTTTTAATGATTTTTTTTTTTAATTAATTTTTTCACAATGTTAACACTCAAAAGCAAAAACCTATTAGAATCCTTGTGGCCTTGTCACTTTAAGTAAATTTGGGGGGGAAAAAGTTGCTTAGTTGGTATGGAAGGATTTTTCACTCGCTTTGGGAGCGTCTCCTCAAATTCCCTAAGTGAAGATACTTAGTGTCACTTTTTGTTGGGACTCTGATACTTTTGTAGTAGCTGATGCAGCATGCATGTAGAGTTAGAGGGTGAAGAGAAAAATTGGGTGGCTTTTTCCTTCTCTGTCAAATTCTACTAACGCAGGGCCATTCTCATATTTTCCCTCCTCCTTTTTAGACCGTTCAGATAACTCCACCTCCAGTTGTAAAGCTAAGAAAGAAAAGACCTGTTGGAGCGTCACTGAATCCTTTCTCTGTACAGTCACCGGCCCATATGGTAAAGTTGCAGATCCAAATATATATATAATATTTTGCTTATGACTAACTTATGTTTTGAATAAGTAAGCTCCTGTTTTATTATTGGCTTCCTTAGTAAAAACAGAAGGTCTGTAATTTCCTTTTTGGTACTCTAATGCAGAGACGAAAATACACTTTTGTCTCTGCTTCCACACTATCTTTGTAGTTGGGTGAGTGCATACTGTAGATTCAGTTATCACTTCACCATTCATACAGTGTTTTAGAGTTACATGACACTTTACTCATAGATACTTCATATGCACTAAAAAGCTTATGTAAACAAGTTATGACAAAAGGATATTGAGGGGTTTATTAAGGGAGAATGAATTTTTAAAGGAATTTGGAGGAAAGGCTGCTTGGCAGATGGGGCACAACGAAATAGGCATGAAGTGAGGTGGGAAAAGGCGATAAGGCAGAAAGATTGGAAAGAGCTTGTAAAAAGAGTGGAAAATAGAAAGATGTAAATAGGGGAAATATTATTTAGGAATGTGGGTGCATATACGGCCCTTCGGTTTTGCAGAAGGTGCGGAACCAGTGGAAGCCTTCTGATAGGAGTAGAATGGTTTGAGAGGAGGCATGAAAGATGACTCTAGCAGCAGCTTTTTTGGAGAGACTCACTGCTAAGAAGCAGGGAGACTGGAGGGTAGGCTATTGCTATGTCATAAGCCTTGATATATGGGCAGTGGTTTTAGCAGTGGAGACAATGAGGTGAGGACAGACTTTTTATGTGAAAAGACTTAATGAGAGCTGCAAGGAGGAGAGAAGAGTCAGAGACTGAGGCTCAGGACCTGGAAGTGGGACAGATAATGGAATTGTTGATGGAGAGATACAGAAGCAGGAAAGCTGAGAAGTCAATGTTTGAGGAGGGGAGTTTGAAATGGCAGCTGGACATCCAAAAGATGTCAGGCAATAAAATACAAGACTGGGTGGAGAGGAAGCGCCTGGAACTTGAAAATCAGCTTGTGTAGTAGAAGTAGAATACTAACTGTGGGATAGATAAGATCACTGAGGGGGAAAAGGAGGGGCCAGAAAAGAGAAACCAAGGAACAACAGCAGGGAAGAGGGTCAAAGGGATTTGGAGATGGCTGATAAATGTTCATGGGCATAGAAAGAGATGTAGCATACTGGGACAGTTTAGTGAGGGATACGATTGAAGGATACAAATGGTATAGAGGAGATAAATCCTATTTGCCATTAAAATACAAGAACGACAGTGCAATTGAAAAACAAATTAAAAACTGAAACATACTCTTACACCATGAATAATTAACTTGTGGATTTGTCACAAGAGATTATTGAGACTAAATTTAATAGGATTAAAAAATTATCCATATATCTAAATGAGGATCTGAACCCTGATGATTCGGGGGTGATAGTCAACTACTAGCTGACATAGGTTAGGAAGAAACTTAGCCATCAGGCACGCTCTTCCATAATTGTCCATGCTGCTATTTTCCTCTGAAGCATTTGATACTGTCCTTTGTCAGAATGCTGGATTAGATGCGCCACTGGTCTGATGGTCCTATAACAGTGGTTCTCAAACTTTTGTATTGGTGACCTCTTTTACACAGCAAGCCTCTGAGTGTCGACCCCGCCCCCATATACATTAAAACACTTTTAAAAAAGTATTTAATGCTATTATAAATGCTGGAGGTAAAGCAGGGTTTGGAGGTGGAGGTTGACAGCTTGTGACCCCCCCCCCCAATGTAATAACCTCACTGCCCCCTGAGGGGTCACCACCCCAAGTTTGAGAACCCCTGTCCTAGGGCTGGCCCACACTAACCCCCCCATTTTGAACTAAGATACGCAACTTCAGCTATGTTATTCACGTAGCTGAAGTCGAACTATCTTAGTTCGAACTTACCGCGGGTCCCACACGCGGCAGGCAGGCTCCCCCGTCGACTCCGCGTACTCCTCTCGCGGAGCAGGAGTACCGGTGTCGACGGTGAGCACTTCTGGGATCGATTTATCGCGTCTAGACAAGATGCGATAAATCGATCCCAGAAGATCGATTGCTTACCGCCAGACCTGGAGGTAAGTATGGACGTACCCTTAGAAGGAGCAATTGGAGGTTAAGAGCTGTCCACGAGGTAGAATGAGAACCAGGAAGACAGTCTTGGAAACTAAGTGGAGGTGAGCAGGTAGTGACTAACGTTTTCAATTTCAATAGGCAGATCTGGAAACATAAGTATAGAGAAGTGTCTATTTGGTTGAACTAGGAGGCGTCATTAGTACCAAAGGGTACGTCCAGACTATCCGCCGGATTGGTGGGTAGCGATCGATCTATCGGGGATCGATATATCGCATCTCATCTAGACGCAATATATCGATCCCTGAACACGCTCCCGTCGACTCCGGAACTTGACTAGGGCGAGCGGCGGTAGCGGAGTCAACGGGGGAGCCGTGGCTGTCGATCCCGCGCCGTGAGGATGGGAGGTAAGTCAAAATAAGATATGTCGACTTCAGCTACGCTATTCCCGTAGCTGAAGTTGCTTATCTTACATCGACCCCACCTTCCTCAGTGTAGACCAGGCCTTAGTGGAGGTGGCTTCAGGAGAGTGCAGAAGCTGAATAAGAGAGGATGAGGTTGGAGAAGGTAACAGTCTAGGATTCTGGAGAGTAAAAAGGGGAATAGGCAACTTTGATCAAAGGAAGGCTTATTTAAGACAGGAATAATGATTGGGCAGCTGGGGTAGACAAGAGGTAAAAAGAAATAGAATAAATATTAACATTTGTTAAACTTTATTTTAGTTTACAATAGTTTATTTTGGTCTACAATAGATCAACTGCACAGACCTGTACTATTTAGTGGTTGACAGTGGAGCCTTAGATAGAGCATTAGACTGGGACTTGGGAGACCAGGGTTCTATTTGTGACTAAGACCCTGGCCTGCTGTGACCGTGACACTTCATTTTCCTGTTCCTCAGTTTCCCCATGTGAACTAGATGATGACAATAGTGAGGCCTTGCTCAATAAAGTGCATAGAACTATCACCAGTTATTGGAAGATCTCATGACTCCCCTCCCAGAACACCATTTTCAAGGTTAAAGGTAGCGGGGGTAGTATGAGGTAGTTGCAGCTGTTCCAATGTTCTGTCTGAAGCTCTAGCTCTGAGTGGACCTTGTAGGCGGAAGAGATGTTTTGGGAGCATGCAAAAGTGGAGTGAGAACATTTAGGGATTTTTTTTTCGAAGCAGCAAGCCTCTAAATGCTTTGAGTTTGTGCAAATGGGAACTTTTGAGAAACTTATAACTCCGCTAAATGTAACTGAATAACAAAAGGGGCCTGTCCCTTTATCAACTTCTAAATCTCTGCTTCAGAGCATAGGGAGGCTGGAACTCTTCAGTGAAATGGTTGGAAATCAATTTTAACATTAGGACGACAACCTCTTTTCCCCCTAACCTTGCTGTTGGAAATGAATGGTCTTTGCTGAAACTTTAAAAAGACGTATCAGCCGGAGGTAGAAAGAGCCTGTAAAACTTCAGTCCAAACAGTTAGTTTGGCAAAGTTATAAACAACTGAAAAATTACTTGGGCTGCCTTAACATGGGCAGGGCCCTGTGTATCCTGTGATTGTGTCGCTGCAGAATTCATTCCTTTGCTACGTAATAATGCTCCAGAATCGGACCTTTCATTTGAAAATTGTTCTTGCCTTTATGGTTTCAGCGAGTACCCCCAAAATGTAAACAGTCTTAAATGATGCAGTGTCCTATGTCTGCATCTGTAGAGTACCTGAAACTCTTAGGACTGCGGCATGTAGTGTAGCCTGTCCTATTAATCTCAATCAGGGCCCCCTGGAATTTGGATACTATGGTTACATAAACTGGCATTCACCAATTTGCTGTAGTTAGGCACACAACTGTATTTTTCCCCGGCCCTGCCATACCATACCTACCACTTCCCTTACAATTGTGAGTTAATTGGAGTACTGTGCGCACTCCCTGCACTGTTCCATGGAGCAAGTCAGAAGAGAATTGGGGGAGCGAGAATTTAACTTCCTGGCTGTACCAATGTATGCTGGCAAACTAGGCTGTCTGGGGAGCTAGAGAGAAGCTGTTGAAGCTGACAGCCAGCTGCCTTCTTGCCTGGCACAAATGGGGAGAAGGAGGTTCTGAGGTCAGCTTCTTTGCTCCTGAGCTGAGGCCTGGGGAGAACAGCAAAAAACTCATGCCCAAAAATAATCAACAAATGCTGTCTATTAATATTTTCAACTATGACCTATAGAACTGTCTCTGTTTTTTTGTTTTTTTGGGTATAGGTTTGGGAATAGAAATGGCGGTAGAATAAATGTTGCCATGGAATTGAGGCGTTGTTGCTGAGAAATTTGATGTTGTGTTGAAGAGTGTGCAAAACCCTGACTGTAGGCCTTACTGCCAACTTCATTTATAACTAAACACTGTAATTCTCCTTTAAGGAAAATTAAAGTTTAATTTGTGCCTAAAATATTTTTTCAGGTAGTAACCCCTATAGTAAGGAAAGCTCCCACTACTGTCAAAAAGGAAGTTCTTTCTCCAACTACCGCTGATCCTAAGCATACCACTTATGCAGCAAAACCTGTTGCAGTCCATAAAGAGAATGGTGCTGAATATACAATAAAAACTGCAGAAAATGAAGAACTGGTGAAGGCAAAACCAGAGAAAGCTATTCAAGGTATTTTAAAAATTCTGGCAACGGAGATAGCAAATGTAGCATGTTCTAAAATATTTTAGTTACCATTGGGGCTAAGTGTGAAAATAGCTTAAAGTGATTCATATTAATGTTGTATACTGTGTGTATGTACTAGAATTATATAGTATATTGTATTAATGATTCAACCCCTTAGTTCTTTTTACAACGCTTACAGAAAATGATCAGGGCATGATGGATTTTGAGGATGGGGATTTTGATGAACCTATGGAAGCGGATATACCAGAGACTGCCGGGGCCCTGAAGAAAGAACAGAAACTAGAAAAGAAAGAGACACCGCAAGTGGATTCTGTGAAGGAAGATGCATCCTTTTTGTAAGGATCTGTGGTTGCAAAAAACCTTTTTTGCTGAAAGAAGTTATATTTATGACTTTATTATATTTGGACTTGATATTTACAGATATTTACTTGACATTTACATATTTATTTTTCTCAAGGCATTGTTCTGTGATTGCACTGTAGGGACTTGAAAAACTTGCATGTTGAAGGGAGTAAAACTGGCTCACGGCTACTTAAGAAAAGGGATACTTCATGTTTCTGAGGACAGACAATTCCTGTCTGGGTAAACAGTGTAATGTTTTAGGTTAAGTGCTCAATGTATATTGCACAGAGCTGGTGATGTAAAGTGGAAGTTTGAGACTGCACATCTTGGTGCTGATGAACAGAAATCAGGAATCACTAAAGATTTATATTCCCGCATACCTTATAATTGCCCAAAACATTAATGATAGTTAAAGCCAGTTTCCCATGGCAAATAGTCATGCCATTGAAGTTCAAAATGCAAAAGTAATGATTTTAAGGTCCTTTTCTTATATAGGAGAGTTTTGAAGCACTTTTTAAATACTGTTTCATGACTGAAAATTATGACAAGTCAAATCATGGTTTGAAGTGTACAAGGTGCTTCACAGAAACAAATAATGACTCTGTCCCACCCCAGATAGCTTACAGTCGAAGGTAGCCTTGCAAACTGATGGGATTATTCATGCTGTAAAGACTTGCATGTCTGGGGTCTGTCTAATAGTTTAAAGGAACTATTAATGCCTGTCTGTTGATATATGAGAGCTATATTTGTGGGGGAAATAATGAAGTATTGCATATTAGCTGGTTTCTTGTGACAGATCTTAAGTCATGTCTTCTCAAAAGTTATGGTTGTAGTGAACATACAACCTTACTCATCTGTTTTTCAATACTTGCAGAAGTTCTTTTCTCCCTGATATGTCCTGTTGGACCAGAATGGATAAGGATGAAATTGATTTAGTTGCCTCAGAAGTTCAAGTGGACCCCAGTTGCCTGCCACTAGTGAACGGGGAAGATGGTGATCAAGTCTTTAGGTTTTATTGGCTGGATGCTTACGAAGATCAGTATAGTCAACCAGGTATCTACACATTTAAAGACAGAAAGTAATTCTCTCGTTCCCTTCAATTTAATCTCACCATGAAGGCAGGGATTTTCAAAGGAGCCCAAGGAAAGACTAGCTGCTCTCTATGCCTGTTGAAGTTCTCCCCTGGAAGCTGCTTTGTAACTTGCACAAAGGATTTTAGTGCTGTTAAATCTGGGGAATATGCCGACATTATTTGCCTCTGTGTGCTAGGAATGAGTTGATGTGTCTAACTTCTTGGCTAAGTGGTACAATAGTTAAATGCACCGTTCTCTTCCTTTTGAAAATATAATCTGAAATCCTGATTAGATCATTAGTTTGATCTCCTAGGTCCTGATAAACCTGTCTTTGTATTACAAGTCACATGTGTTGTAGGAGTTGGAGGAGAGGAGGCAGACTGGATGTGGAATAGATATTATTATTGTGCAAAAATCTTCATAAAGCTCTGCCAAGATACCTCAGTCCTATCTCATTTTTTTCATAGCTCTAGTACTTTGGGTCTCTGTCTTCCATGCATATCAACCTCATTCACGCTGTTAGTGGTAGAGGAAAAATACCTATTTTGGAGCCTTTGGACTAATGCTCCAAGTGCTAAGTCTAATGCATTTTGCAGTTACACCTTTCTTAACTTGTGGTGCCAAGAGGTTAAATATGAGTCGGTCTCTTTGTATGCTGAGTGCATTGAAAAGCTTCTTGATGAGAGCAGCTAGTGATCACTGAAGCCGTGGTGAAATCAATGATTCTAATATAAAATAGCTACTCCTTAAAGACCCTGTTATTGTTTTTTACTTCTATCTTGGCTTGTAAGTCAGTGGTAGCTGAATGGAACATAATTATGAAAGGATTTATTTTTCTTGCATGTTTTTCTTGCATAAAAATGTCCTTATTTTGACATTTCAAGGTTGAATAATAGACTGCACCTGGTTTCAATTAATAGTGCAAGGGGGAAAGTAAATTTTGATATTACTTTTTGTTTAACAGTTTCATTATTTTTATGGAAAATGGGCATAAACAATGTCAAATACATTGCTTGAAATGAAGCTGGACTGCAAGATAAATGAGACTCTAAAATCATTTGTAACTTTGAAATACAGTCTGTTTTCCTTCATGGTTCCCTTAAACTGTTTTATGGAGAGAATTGGAAGGCTGTACTCCTATCTTAAAAATTTGATGAAATAATAAAATAAAACAATAGGTGTCCATCTAGTGCTCTGGTCACCTGTCCCATAGCTTAAAAAGCTAAGAATAAACCAGGAACTACTCCTAAATATCTCAGCCTTAGTCCACACCCTTATTAAAGGCTTAATGAAGGAGGTGAGGGAGAAAGAGAACCTGGGCTCTGGTAGACCAAGGGAGCAAGTCCTGAAATTGAAGACCTCCCAGAAATTGTTTATATTGAAGGAGCTCCAGCTCAAACACCTCTGATCTCAGTAATGGCAGTATGTTGTAGGAGAGGGAAATGTCCAGTAACCAAGTCCAAAATTATGAAGCGATTTTTCTTATAGGTTAACACTAGGCTTATCGGAATGTGATTTTTATTTTTTAATAATTTTGGGTGGGTAATGTTTGTTTTGAAGCATTTTTTAACATTTTTATCAATGTAGATTTTCATGATTGTGGGAGATTATGGGAAGAAGTTCAGATGATAGCAGGGAGTCAGACAATGATTGAATGACCGTACATCTTGAGATTCAAAAAGTGAAGGCTTTATAGCTGTTAAAACAAATTGTCAACATCACATTGTGGATATATGTAAAGTAATGCACATTGGAAAAAATAACCCCAACCATACATACAATATGATGCGGGGGCTAATTTAGCTACAACTAATCAGGAAAGATCTTGGAGTCCTCATGGATAGTTCTCTGAAGACGTCCATGCAGTGTGCAGCGGCAGTCAAAAAAGCAAACAGGATGTTAGGAATCATTAAAAAAGGGATAGAGAACAAGACAGAGAATATCTTATTGCCCTTTTATAAATCCATGGTACGCCCACATCTTGAATACTGCGTACAGATGTGGTCTCCTTTTCTCAAAAAAGATATACTGGCATTGGAAAAGTTCAGAGAGGGGCAACTAAAATGATTAGGGGGTTGGAATGGGTCCCATATGAGAAGAGATTAAAGAGGCTAGGACTTTTCAGCTTGGAAAAGAGACTAAGGGGGGATATGATAGAGGTATATAAAATCATGAGTGATGTGGAGAAAGTGAATAAGGAAAAGTTATTTACTTGTTCCCATAATATAAGAACTAGGGGCCACCAAATGAAATTAATGGGTGGCAGGTTTAAAACAAATAAAAGGAAGTTCTTCTTCACACAGCGCACAGTCAGCTTGTGGAACTCCTTGCCTGAGGAGTTTGTGAAGGCTAGGACTATAACAGGGTTTAAAAGAACTAGATAAATTCATGGAGGTTAAGTCCATTAATGGCTATTAGCCAGGATGGGTAAGGAATGGTGTCCCTAGCCTCTGTTTGTTAGAGGGTGGAGATGGATGGCAGAAGAGAGATTACTTGATCGTTACTTGTTAGGTTCACTCCCTTAGGGGCAGCTGACACTGGCCACTGTCAGTAGACAGGCTACTGGGCTGGATGGACCTTTGGTCTGACCCAGTATGGCCGTTCTTATGTTCTTAAAACAAATTGTCGACATCACATGTCAGACTATACAGAGTAAACATCCTTGTTCTTGAGCAGCAATTTTCTTAATTTTTCCTGTCTGTAAATTTCTACCATCATCAATAGAAGGTGTGTGTGTGTGTGTGTGTGTGTGTGTGTGTGTGTGTGTGTTGGGAGTGAAATCAACATTTACCAATAAAAATAAAATCCTTCCAAGCCTAGTTAAAACCAAACTCCTGAATTCTATCCAGAAGCTGATTGAAAGGTAACAGCACTGGTTTAATGTGCTCCCATCTTACAAGTCCACTTAAGTGGACTGCAGCATTCTGTGCTAGCTTCAGCTTTCAAATGTTTCCAAGGTGTAATCCCATGTAGTGTGCATTATAGCTGGTTTGTTGTACCTTTAATCTTTGCGGTGATGCAGATGTGGATAATTGTGGCAAGGTCCACAATGAAAAGAAAAGATTGGTGAAAAAGCTGTCTTGGCTACACCTGTTACCTGGACATCCAGGAGCACCCTGAATTTAACAGCATCCCCAAGTTGTCCACCTGTACTGTTGCACTCCCTTTGTGAGGGGCACTGATGTAAGTTCCACCAACTTCCAGTTGCTTCCCCTAACCTCACCATTCTCTCTCTATTACCTGGATGGAGTCACAACCAGCTAGCTGTCATCCAAGACTTAAGTTTTCTAGGCATTGGGAAACGCATCCCATTGCTCCAGCAGAGTCAAATGTGATGGGGATGTAGAGCTGGGTACCGTCAGCATACTGAATGCAATGAACTCTCCTCACTAATCCTCCTAGTGGCCCCATATACTCACTGAACAAGACAGGTGACAAGCACCTTGCAGGAGAGCCCTTGGGGCAGGGGAATTATTTCATTGACCATGAGTTGCAGGAAAGATTGTTGTACTTGTGGGGTCTTGTTTTTTGTGTGTGCTATTCTTTTGAGCAGTGAATTGTCAAATATAAAACTTTCTGGATTTTACTATGGGAATTATTGCTGCGAAAATTCATAAGTTTGGGACTTGAAGCTGATAAATCTATTTAGTGAAACTTTCAGTGGATTGCAAAAGGCCTTCCACCAACTTAATTGGGTACAAAGGAGTCTTAACCTTGGAGAACTGAGTAAGGAAAAAACTTCATTGTCTTGGTTACCATCTAACACACCTCCATCTGGAAGGTTCGAACCTTTTATTAATTGACACCACACGTATTTCAGCATTTTCTTTCTTCACCTACATTTTCTTTAGGGGGAATGAGAAGCTGTAAGAATAGAACTCTGAGAACAGAAGATAATGGTGTGATGCCATCTTCTGTGCTTGACATTGCTTGGTTACCACAGTTTTGGAGGTGGATGGTTAAGGACCACATAAGTACTAGGTTTATAAAGTGATTGCTTAGATATTTGTAGAGCACTGTCTGTCAGTAGATGGAACTGTCAAGGAATACAAATTGGAAATTACTTTGGTCCTGTGGGTGAATTAATCTTTCTTCACTTATACTTTAAAGTGGCAGCTTTTCTGCTAGCAGCATCTTTGAGAATTTTTCGTTCCCTAATATCTAGTCTTTTCTTCCTTTCTCAGGTGTGGTATTTCTGTTTGGTAAAGTGTGGATTGAATCAGCAGAGACCTATGTCAGCTGTTGTGTGACAGTGAAAAATATTGAGAGAATTATCTATCTACTGCCACGTGAGATGGTAGGCCTGAATTTCAGTGGGCTGCTGATGGGAAGCTATTGAAGTAAAATGCCTTCTGACTTGCTTACATGGAAAAAACAAGCTGTGCTGATTGTTGCATATGTGATATTCATCATGCTGAGTAGAATATCCCTGATTTTCAAGCTATAATGAGGTGGCTAGGAAAAGGACAGTTCCTTTACCTGAAACTAATGGTGGCAGTTTTCTTGGGTGATCTCCTGCTTACCATGTTAAGTTTCCAAGTCCTCTGTTTTAAGTAACATTTCATAAATTTTACATTTTGTGAACTCCTTTATTTTGTATTAGAGGGGTAGTCGTGTTAGTCTGAATCTGTAAAAAGCAATAGAGGGTCCTTCAGATGTATCTGAAGAAGTGAGGTTCTTACCCACGAAAGCTTATGCTCCCAATACTTCCTTTAGTCTTAAAGGTGCCACAGGACCCTCTGTCCTTTATTTTGGTGCCATAATATTCCTTGGCTACAAGCTTTGATTGTATGTCAGTTTACCCATTAAAATAACCCTGAATTTTGCTGACTTGTTAATGTTTGTTGTCACAATCTGTAAATAAAATAATTTGATTTTACTCTCTTTAAAGCAAATGGACCTAACTTCTGGTAAAGAGACAGAGAATCCTGTGACTATGATGAACATCTACCAAGAATTTAATGACCAGATTGCTGTAAAATACAAGATCATGAAGTTCAGATCCAAGGTTTGTCTCTTTTGTACATCACGCTCAATCCCTTCCTATTTTTCTGTTTTTGGAGGGCAGAAAACTTTCAGTGGATAGCCATGCTGGTTGGTGTGTGGGTGGAAAAGGCAAAGTTATAACTTGCACGTATGTGTATGTTTTCCTGTAACAGTGACGATCTGAATCTTTCTCAACTCAAGAATAAGTGAAACAGAGTTTGGAGATGGGCCTAGTATAGAACAGAATTTTAACCCCAAAGCTAATATGATTAATGGCAGAATATTGATAAAAGGTCAGCATCATCATCTCTGTGTGAGAAGTCAACTTTCTTTGAGATCTAAGGCTGTGTCCTGACTTTTCTTACTAGGACTTGTTACATTCAAAACAGTTTTCAAATATGGTTATGACCAAACAGTTTGTATACGTGCCATCATGATTATAAATGTCAAACCTTGCTAAAATCCTGCCAGCAGATTAGTTAATAGTTTTAGCCAACACAACTTTGGGTATCAATTTTGTTTCTATATTGTGAACCCCAAACCACTAATGGACCTGGTTCAAGGTCTTCCTTCTTCCCCCTGTCTCTGCCACATATACTAGAAGTCAGTGTGCTACATTTATGTAGCACTTCCAGTTTACTGTAATGCACTTTTTTGCCCAAAGCTTGCTGAGGGATACACACAACATGGCTTCACTTACTAGAATAGAGAAAGTGTACATGCCCAGGTGAGCTAGCAACTAAACTGCAGTCCTTCTGTGATGCTGACAGTACTGATTCCTGGACTGCCAATATTCATTTCTCTTAAACATCCTAATTTTTGTAATGAATATTGAGCATAAGGGGGAAAAACCACCTGTGTCCCTCTGGATAGGGCACTGGGCTAGGACTTGAAATTTGGTTCTTTGATTTTTCTTCCATTGACCTGCAGTGACATTGTACAAATTGCTTCACCTTGTTGCTTATTTTTTCCCTTCCACTTTTTATCTGTTGTTTTTCTCTTTAGATTTTAAGCTCTCTGGGGGCAGGAACTGTTTTTTATATGACTGTACAATGCCTAGCACATTAGGGGGTCCTGATCTTGGCTGGACCTTCTAGACACTATGTACTGTAAACCATTAATAAGACAGATAACGTTCCCTTTTTGTGGGAATTAGGATGCCATCTTGAGATTTAAACTGTTCATTGGATCCCTAGTTGTGCTTGACATTTGTGATTCCACTACGTATTTGGGCCACTCCACAAGCAGTTAAGAGAATGGTGAAGCGGAAAAGATTGCTCTATTGGAAAATAGAGGCAGACACGGTGTGGGATAGAGAATAGGTATCAGAGGAGTCTGTTCATAAAGGTACAGTTCTGCAAAGCAAAATATGCAGAAATTGTGCTAGCAAGGGCATCACAAATTTGGACTGAAGTGCATTACTAGAGCTGTGTTGGGAAGCTTATTCAATCACTTCACATGCACTCATTAACTTTTCTTTCCCTTTTCCCTCTTTAATATGTGTGGATAAAATGCATGTGTCTCTTTGCAGTCCAGACTTGGATGAAGATGAGTACAACACTAGCATCATGTTTCTTCAATTAAGTGCTCAGATAGCTCTTCCTACTTTCTTGGCGTATCAAGTTGAGAGTTCACAAAGAATTACAGTGTAACTTTGGGATTAGTTTTGATTTTCTTGGATTAGTGATCAGTGCTGTCATTAAACCCTTGTGTAAAATGTTTGACAAGAGGTTTGAAAGGCAGAGGAAAACAGAGGAAGAATGAATAAAAACACAGGTGTGTAAAATGAGGGGAAAATCAAAATATTGATGGGCAACTCTAAATGTTCTAAAGCATGATGGAAATGCAAGTGCTTCCCAAATGCCTCCTAAATAGCAAGTTCACCCAATAAATATCCTACATCTGTGCAGCAATATGTAATCTAGTGCAATATTTTCAGCCTTCAATAGTGAACAGATTGCATGCTTCTTTGGCACATTCCAGCAACACATATTTCATCTGTTTCAGATTTTCTTATGATCAAAATAATTCTGACAAGTTTACCTTTGAATTTTTTTCACTGTTTCTACTTGGATGTTCTTATTATAATGTACTTGTAAATGGGAGATGTAGGTGGGTAGTTTTAAGATTGGGTGTAGAGCAGGGATATGCTAGCTCACTGCTCAGAAAGAGAAATCTGAAGAACCCTGAAGTTGAGAAAATAACTAAAGTTTAATGAAGTGGGCTTCAATAACAATGACTTGAAAGCATGCTTTGGATTGTCCTTTGAAAAGGTGCTGAAGGATCAGAAGAACTCATTAAAAAAAAACAAAAACAAAAAAAAACCTTGTGCACGTGTAGAGTGACAGTTAAAAGATGATACAGGAAGAGATAACAGATTAAAATAAAGATACAACAGCAGGTAGAGATTATAGATGTTGAAAGTGGGGTAAGCCACAGTGCAAAACCCTCTTTTATATAGGTGCAGTGTGTCTACACTGGGTGTTGCAGTTACCCCAGTACAAATCTTGTCAGATAGACAGGCCTGTATTTCAATATGATGATGATAGCTTTATTCATTGCATAGCAAGATATCAAACAAAGGCCTTCTGTGTGAAGACCAAATACTGATCTGAGAGAGAGGACAAACAAATGTTGTATCGTACTGTTCAGATGGGAATTTGCTACCAGGTCTGAATTGACTTTTCTCTGTATATTAAGACTAGCTAGATGAGGAAGGATAGGGGGAATGGTCTCCTATAAAGCTTTGAATATTACATAAGCATACTTTAACTAATCATAGTTCCTGCATTGCCAAAAAAGGATGGGAAAAATTTAATACCTTTTAATCACAAAATTGCATATCATATGAACTTTTTTTTTTTAAAGAACATGCCTTTTATTGAGGCATTAATACTTCAGTATTAAAACATGCCTGGCCTGTTCTTTATCTTTCAATAAACAAAACTAAGTAGTAAAACGCTTGCTTTCTAGTTTGCCAATTCTTTGAAATTCTTCTCCCTCAAGTTGCCTTTGATTTCAATGGGAGCTGCAGGATCAGGCCCTAAGACACAAATACAGCTTTCCTTGAGGTTGATTTTAAAATTGTAAATTAGCTTCTCCAAAGCCAGTAGGCTTAAACAGTTACTTACTTTTTTAAAAAAAAAAGATTGGCTCTAAAATTTTGTCCTGTAGCTTTAATGTATATATTCAGTTCATCCATTAACAGGGCTATTTTTGAAATATTTGGAAGAAGTTTTCATTAATTATTTCCTCCATTATAATCAATTTATTTTGAAAAAGGCATTGGCATCTGAAGTCAACTTGCTATAAAATTAATCTGCTTTGTTTTCATGTGCAGAGTGCATAGCTACAGTGGCTACGTGGATTTCTGGTTTGTGGGAAAATTTGGTTTTGTTCCAGTTCAGAGTAAAAATTGAAATTTCCCAGAAACTGGAAATTCCATAAGTTTCATTTTTGAAAACACTGACACATGATATTTCTGAAACAAAATATGCTCTTGTACACCCCAACAGCTGCTGACTGAAATTGATGTGATTAGCAGTAGCAAAACTGACAAGATTCTCTGAAGAGCAGCGGTGAAGCTGACCAGAATCCTGTAAATTTCAGTTGATAGCTGGCAGGGCTTGCACTTTTGCAGCAGCGCTGCTCAAAAACCTCTCCTTACAAAATGATTGAAAATACTTAAGTGAAAATATTGCTACATACCAAGCTGATGTGACCCGCTCAATAGAACTACATCTAATCCACGACCTGATGATGATTTATATTGGAACAAAGGGAAGATAACTTCAATCAAGGAAGTTTTTGAAACTTAACGGCCAATCATTGCTCCTCCATGTCTAATTTCTGAAAGAACACTTAATGGACAGATAGCATTTTTACGGCTCTTTACACTTCACTGTAGTTATGAACAGAGGCTCACATGCTCTCTTTTACTCCATAGTCAGGTTAAATCCACAAGAAGTGGTTTGAACCTATGTGTTTAAAAAAGACAAGATAGTAGTGGAGTCCTGGTCTATGACTAGGGCCAGTAGGACCTATGGCAATACAAATAACACGCGCCACAAGTGACTCTTCACCATCTGTTTGCATAATGGGTGCAATGTGCTGTTCTCCAGCTGGTGCAATAGCACAGGATAGCCACGCAAATCTGGAATCCTTAGTCTCCAGGAAATTTTAACATAGTTCTGAACAGTAAGGCTGTGTCTACACTGCGCAGCTTACAATGGCGCAGCTGTGCCACTATAGCCGTGCCGTTGTAAGGCAGGCAGTGTAGCCACTCTTTGTCGCCAGGAGAGAGCTCTCCTGATGACAAAATAAAACCACTCCCAATGAGGGACAGTAGCTTCGTCGGCTTAGTCTACACCGGTGCTTTTCGTCATTAAAACTTTTGTAGTTTAGGGGTATTTTCCCCCTCCCCCCCCCGACACCCCTGAGTGACAAAAGTTTTTTTTAACGATAAAAGTGTAGTGTGGACTCATAGACTTTAAGGTCAGAAGGGACCAGTATGATCATCTAATCTGACCTCCCGCATGATGCAGGCCACAAAAGCTGACCCACCCCCTTTCCCTTGACTCAGCTGTTGAAGTCCCCAAATCCTGTGATTTAAGGACTTCAAGTCTCAGAGAATCCTCCAGCTAGCGACCCCT